GCCTTTGCCCTCCCACTTTAGTGTTAACACCGCCACGAGAAGGCAGTGGGTGGGACTTCCTCAGCAGAAGCTATTTGGGGAGCTTGGTTCTTTGATCACATTTCTAGAGGAGTTCGGGACGAATGACCATTTCAGAGCCCGAGACACCCACTCCCGACCGTACTGAGGCATTCAGAGGCATTATTCCAAATAAAAGCTCACCAAGTATTGCATATGTTACCGGAGAAAATGACAGTTGTGTTCTGCCGTGTATTCCATTCCAGTTCAGATGTCGGCACATCCCTGGAGTGAAAACCTTTCTTATCATTTCCCTGATACATTCGGCGACGTTTTCACCACCGCTGGCTGACATGTAGGTGATCAATGCGGAAATGAAGTAGCTATGTTTAGGTATGGCTTTTTAAACACATCATGTATTTATAAATCATCTCGGAAGGTAAATGCTTCAACAGTAGTGCATGTAATGTATAATCAAGATACGATGTCGCAGGCAGTTTCTGTGTTCTTCAATTCTTCCAGTAGAATGAAGTCATCTGAATTGTCTACTGGTAGACCAGTTTCAACTGGACGTATTCGTTTTTCCCGCAAGGTGTTGATTTCTGCACGCATGAGATGTAACACGCGCAGAATCCTTGTCGCCAATGCCAGGATTCCACGGTTGGTATCCGCTGAAACACAAAAGCCAATTTAGTTGAAGCTAGTCTTACTATTGGCATCGTCTGCGTTTGACGGGAGACTGAGCATTGGAGGATTGCTAGGAATAATTCTATCAGACAAACATGAATAGCGTCATTCATTTTTATTACCTTGGCTGTTCGACGGCTTTCGGCTCTACCCTCGGATCCAAGTTCTCCGAGTAATCCAAGATCACGTTTTCCACACGTGAGCTAAAATAAATTGGACTTTACATTTTTGAATTACCTGGAAGCTACCGTCCGTCGATTAGGACTAATGATACCGCTAAAAGACAATCTCAGTTGATGATAAACACATAATGCTTTATAAACTCACCCTGATTTATTTTCGGTGGTCATGTTATCCAAAGGTCCACACGATATCGAGCTGTCACTTCGGGAAACAGAATAGTTTCTAAAGTCGCTGGCTAGACTCACATTCTCGTTGGTACATAGAGCTTGGGCATTCTGCAAAAAACACCAATAATTAATGATATGTTCCTCTAACGAATAACTGGCACTCGGCACCTGCAGAGTACTCGAAGCTCTCCTCGGTGGACAGACGAATGTCAACGATTTGGAGTACACAGTCCTGCTGTGCTTGCAGGCTGCGATATCTGTCTCAAAATCGGACATGTGTACCGGTGCTCTGGAACAAACGTAATATATAGGAAGCCAACTTACATTTTCCGCTTCTGCACCTGACTCATTGATGCTGTCACATCCGAAGAAGCCACTTCTTCGGTTTTCAGTAACTCTTAGTACTGAAAAGCTTTTCCGAAGTTATCTGAAGTTGCCATCTGGAAAAAAAGACCCGAATTTTGTAAAGGTAAAGCTGCCTGACTACCGTTTTAGACCCAAAGTAGTCTGGTTTTTCGTGCTTCCTACGTGGGATTTTCGCTGCTTTTTTTCTAACAGGGAGGTGGCACGTCGTCGGTTAATAGCGCTGATAGCTGGCTACATTAAATCTACAAATGAGCTTCGGCACCAAAATCGTAGCGGATTTCTATCCCATTAGTCGGTTCACGGCACTCTAATAGCCGGCTATAAGGAGCTACATTTTCCGCCCGATGATGGACCATTGTCCCGTCTCTAATCTCCTATTAACCCCTATCTTCGTGTATACAATTCAGTGGGGCCGCGCCCCGTAAGAGCCTCTTCGCCGCCGGTACCGATAGCAATCCGCTCACCTGTCTGCAAGTTGCCACCATCTCATCAAGTGCTCGTCGAGACGTTTGAATCGCGCCTCGTTCTGCTCCTCCACCACCTCCGATGGGAGTGAATTCCAGAGTGTAGTCGCTCTCCGGGCGGGTCGATAAACTAAAGGAGGTCCCGTAGACTCTAGCTTTCGGGAAGTAAGCCTGTGGCCACGTGTCCGGTTGCAGTCCTCTATGGGAAACATCACGTAGTTCCAGTCCCAGGTCACCACGAGGAATCTTCCACAGATGAACCAAATCCCCGCTTGGTCTCCCGTAGCTAACCGGGAGCGGAACCTAATCAATGATGATTTATTTGCTACATTTTCGTAATACAGTTCGGTCTGTCGTCGTCAGTGGGCGTATACTTTAACCAAATTCTCTGGATTCGCTCGCCTAAGGTCGTTGCCAAATAACACTGCAAGTAATGTACCAAAAAATGGATTGCAGATTCTGAAGCCTCACCAATCACTTAATATGGGGACATTTAACGTGTGAACTCTGATGCAGATGGGTTAACAAGTTTGTCTGGTGTGTTCAATGAAATCCTTAGGGATCGATATTTCGGCGTCTCAGAGAATCGAATTCAGGATCGCACTACTAGAAACCAATTGAGCGCGCCAGATTTGTCCTCGATATGCGTTCTTCGAACATCAGGCGACGACGAAGCCCGTGCAGTAGTTTAGCGCGCATTCCTTCATTTTGGGGTGCATCATTAATCGTTCCCATTTTCAAGAAAGGATCGCTCAGCGATAGCGAAAACCGCCTCGGCATAAGTTTGATCCCGATCGTCACCAAAGTGCTTGCCTCGGTCATACTTCGACTTGTGACTCTGTGAACAGCAAGTCGTATTCCGGTCTGGCCGCGGATGTATGGATCAAATTTTACGTTGCGTCAGGTCCTTGAGCTGCGTCACACCCACTCTCGACCAATCATCGCAGTGTTTCTTGACCTCAAAGGGGCGTTCCACTCAGTTGACCATTAGGCTTTGATGGGTTTCCTTCTTCGAAAAGGAATGCCACAGAAGTACGTTAACTTACTGAGGTCACTGTAATCACACCTCTGGTGGAGTGAGTGTTTACAACGAACTAAGTAGGTTGTTCGTCACCAGCAGCGGCGTTCGTCAAGAATGCTCTCTTTCACCGGTTCTGTTCAATTTTGTCGTAGACGAAATACAGGGGAACATAGTAAGTGGTCTCCAAAACGCGGGTATCGAATGAGCAACTATTGAAAAGTTGTGTGATTTGGAGTACGCCGATAACATCGTCTGTCCGAATGTACGCAGGATGCGCAAAACGCACTTGATAGACTAACAAGTGCGGTTACCGCATTCGGTATGTGCTTTGCACCTTCAAAGTGTGAAGTGATGCTGCAGGACTGGATGTCGCCTGCTCCCGAAACTGAAACTAAATGGCTAGGAATTATTTATAGTGGATCACTTTTCGTACTTAGGTAGTTGCGTGACCAATGACGGAAGCGCAGCAAAGGAGATTTCCAAGGTTCGAGCAGCATACGCAGGACTGAAACACCTATGGCGTAGACGCGACGCTTCACCGAAGTTGAAAGGTCGTGTATATAGTGCCACAGTGTGTTCAGTCCTGCTTTATGGCTGTTGGACCTTGAATTTGCTAGTAGAATATATTCATCGGCTATAGGTTTTCGACTGTCGGTGTTTACGCAGTTTAGCCCACGTAGGATCGAGCGAACGGCTTAGTAATTTGGAGGTAAGCCGTCGTGTGTTTGGGAGTCTCTCAGGGATAAACCTGCTGGCACATCGAAATCAAATTAGTAGACTTCGCTGGCTAGGGCACGTATTGCGTATGCCCAGCTACCATCTACCACATCGCATCTTTTTCCGTTTCAGGTTTTACGTCCATTAACCATGCACTTTCGTGCACCGGTTTTGGTTGCTGTCTTTTGGTGCCTCATTGGGATAAAATAGCAGAATGAAGATTAGACTGTTGAAAGTGAATTCTTCTATCGACACCCTTCCCTGGGGAGGCCACTCCAGCAAATAAACACGGTGATGGACAGTTTACCGTTCAAAAAACCCCGCTAGATGGGCGTAGCAGCGGGATATCTGGGGCTTCCCCTCGACTGTGGGCGAAGTCTTCGCACTTCATTGGACAGCTACCGCCCGCCCAAGCTGGACAGCCCCCAGCCAATAAAGTGCTGTCCCGTCCACGTACCCGTTTGATATGGCACCTTATTCGCTGTAGCCGCTACGGGCTGGAGAAAACCACATGGAGGTCAACAGATGACGTAGAGACTAGGCATGAAGAAATGCAAAGAACGGTTAGGTAGGGTAGGTGTCAGGCGTCATCCAGGTTTGGGTCCAAAAGACTCCACAACTGGTTGGTTGGAGACAATGAAGGATATGATAGCGAACCGACAGCAGTGGCGTTCTTGTTGTCATTTCCTATCAAGCAAGAATGCTTGAAACGGTATGTGTGCAGAGTTCGATTGTGCACTGTGTGTTGACCATAGTGGTTCACCTTCTTCTCCCTCTCTCCCTCAAAATAGGTCCACTCCCTGTCCACCTTATATTTTACCACTAACCTTGTGTGCATCCTGAGTTTGGCAGCAATCAGAGAATTTCGCTTCTCTGTATGACGACGACGATAATGATGATGATAGATTACACTCATTGGGGCATGGGCTGCGCATGTCACCAAATAGGTTACCACGGCGAGCGATGCTTTCCGACGCAGGTAGCGGATGCAAAAGATCAAGGACGGTCAAACTAAGACCTGGCATGAGGGTATAACAACCCTTGAATTTGCTCTCAGCATTCTAATATTCATTTTGTTCTTTTATCCAAATAGGCAGCCAGAAGACATCAACCAAAACCGGCGCATGAAAATGCATGGTTAATGTTAGTAAAAAAAATGAAACCAAAACAGGTGATTTAAGTTCTCAGCTTGCTCATTTGTCACCCCAGCTACTGGGAGTGCACAAGAAACGTTGCTTCCGGGGAAGACCGTGGTATGAATGTGATGTAACATTGTAAGACAGTCATCGGCTACCAACTATTCTGCCCTCTTCCCCTGCTGGTCTCAGTTGTTTGTGCAAGGGCTAGAGGTGCACCCTCAAACAAAAGCCCAGCGGTGCTGGGTACGTATTGCCACGTTTGTTCGTGGATAGTCCTACAGTGATACCACTCGCGGTTCTAGTGATCAGCTTAGTTGTGGGTCATACTATTTATTTAATCCTCAATACTTGATACCGGATGGTGCATACGGTTCGTTTTTCATTTTCGTTGCTTTTACTTTCAGTTAAATTGGAAACTAAATATGTGTGCCGAGATACTGGACTCATCAATCAAATTAGCTGCAAGAGTTGCCAAACAAAAGCCCAGCATTTGGTAAGTTAAACTTCGTGGGTGGGTTGCTTTACTCTTTTAAAGATTGGTGTTGAATATATTAATGTATATTAACTTGAAATATACAGAATTCTCGGACGAATATACACGTTTATTCGTATCATGCATTGTGCTAAGATGGATCATGACCTTCTAAATCGATTGTCAGCACAATCCAGCATCGCTCAGCCAGGTAAACGGTGTGGTAGAAGAACGCTGAGTTGTGTCAACCCTAAAAGGTTTTGAAATCAACGAAAGCAAGAGTTGATAGGCACGTGTTTCAGGACCGTAAGACAACTTAGTACTTTTATGACCTGTTTCTACAGTTCAGTTAGGGCAAAGCCTGAAAATTGATAGACTGGGAGTAATTGCCCAATAAGTGGAGAGCCCATTTATGTCACCTAAGCTGGGAAAACGCCATCAATAGGTGGTAGGCAGCCCTGCAGTCTCCCTGGCCACTACCATGCTCAACCTATTGAGGTCTCATGATTTTACCACTCTAGGTTTCAGAGTTGGGTTATCGGTTTTCTCTCACCCCAAATGAACTATACAACTCACAGAAAATAGAATGCGCACTCTACCTACCAACTCACAGCACGCCATAGCCCTCACTAATGTTCGTAGTTTAAATCGAGATGTTAATTCTGTACACCAATTTCTGCAATCTTCTTCCCCTTTGGCTTTATTTTTGACATAGACACAAATCTCTCCCTCGTCAGACAGTACTCATCTTCGGTTTCCTTATTACTTCCTCCATTCTTCTTTTCTTCTTAAAACTGGTGTCTGCGCTTCTTGGTTTGCCTGCAACTCCACCTTATCTGCCGACTCTTTTTATAACACACGAAGTGATTTACAGCAAAAGGTGCAAATTCCATAATCAACAATATACTGTGAAGGGGAGGTGTGTGGGGTACATTCAAGTAAGAGTCAATTTGTTAATCCTGCTTTTGAAAAGGGTAAGGTGATAAGAGCTTGGAAACACGAGCTTGAAAACTACCGGTCCGCTCTCCTCCTATACATCCAGCCACTCCGCCCTACCTATTACTCATTCTTCTTGTAACAGTCCATAAAAATGTGCTACCTTNTTCCTTTAAATCTGCGCTCAACATTCTAATCATTCTGCTATTTTATCCAAATGGATAACCCACAGACA